AAGTTGTTTTGATATGTATTCTGCATTGTCCTCAAATTGTTTATTTTTCATTGCATTTGGGAATTGTTATTTGAAATACAATGTATTGTAACATCTGCAATTTTAAATAACTTATTAAATCAGTTATGAATATTTTTGCTTAGAGTATTACATTTTAATATACCTTTTGACAGTTCTAGGTTTAATTTACGACACTGTATTACTTTCATTATACCTTGTAGATCAGCTTCAAAATTTAATAATTTTAAGTCATCTACACATTCCACCCCTAAATCATATACAACTTATTACATGTTGAAATTTAACAACATTTTTTACAGTGTAGTTATATGGATGGTCAACCTACTACATTGTCATATGTTCCATAATACATTATTTTGTTGTTGTAATATACTACAAAGGTTACCTGTTGTTGTAATGACTGGTCACCTTTAAACTTCTACAATTGGTGTGATAATTTAAATTCATTATTACAAATACAATTTTCATTTTTTTGTCATGAAAATATCTATATTAAGAATAGTTTCAATTATTATATCAAGTAAAAATAATTTTATGCTTGCTGATGATTATTTGTTCATAGGTAAATTTACAGTATAATAGTAACATATATATTTAATTGAAAATAATGAATTAATGATATAATTTGGTTATGAATTATAAATTAAAAAATTTATCTGGTTTTTACATAAGCTACAATTAAAATATTTTTCATAAAACAAAATATTTGAATCCTTATTTTATTATGAGATACATTATAACTTAACTATTAATTGTGTATACTTATATAATAGCTATTTTTGTTATCTACCACATATGCATTAACATTGATATACAATGTTTCAAACTAAAAAAAAAAAAATGTTTTATACGTGTTAACATTATTGTGTATAATATTTGTAAGTTGAAAATTCAACTGATGATATATATGGTCAAGTTAGCTATGATTTGATGTATTACTCAATGAACGCATATGTATGAGCCCCTGGCGTGGTGTAACAATCTGCAAGCTCATAAATGTATATTTGAATAAATAAGTTAAATTACAACCCAAATCTGAAACATACATTTTTGGTTGTAAAGGTTAGCTAAATTGCTTACCTATGTGGTAAAAGCATGTTTGTATTTTAAGCACAACTGGTATATTATATGCCCAAATATAACAGAGTTATAGGAAACACGGTATATTAACAGTGAACAAGTTGTAATGCATTGTGTTAAGAATATTTAAAAAAGTAGTTGTTATATAGTGTGTATAATTAATTTTATCTTTATTCTGTATTTCAAAATAATTTAGGAATCAAATGAGTGTTATCTATGTAACTTAAGCTATTATTGTTATTAATTGGGTACGTGGTAAATATGTAAATACCTATCTTTAAATATAAGTAACTACCAGAAAAATATTGAAAAAAAAACATTTATTTTTTTATGCTACAATGTTAATATATTGTAGTAAACATTATTAAAAAAAATTTAAAAAAAAATTATATTTCTTTTAAAAATATTATATCATACATTATTTTTTATGTTTTATGAAAAAATATCGTATGGAAGAGTTTTAATTAAATAATATGACCATTTATAAAAACATCACAAGCGTAAAATAAAATTTTGTTTTGATAATTTTTTATAAAATAATTTGATTATTAATTTCGTTTTATTATTTTTAAATGTTTTATTATCAACAAAAAATAATGTATTTTTACAATGAATCTGTACTAAGGTTTACCATCTTCATCCTACGTTGTATCTTGTCTTAATCCTTTGTGATTGTCATCCAATATTTATGAAATGTATTTCATTTTAATTTTCTTTATTGATCCAAACAAATAATCAGATTGTATATCATAATTATCACATTCAAATAATTTAGAATTAATTAAATTTTTGTATTGATTGAATACATTCAGAATATGCGTTGGTCTTCTACATTTTCATCTAATAGTTTTATTTTCTCTTACTTCATCACAGTTTTCAAATGCATCTGCTGTACGTACACACAATTATACGATCGACGCTATGCTAAACATGCACAATATGCATGTTTTCTGTGTTCAATACAAATCAAACACGTCGTTTTCATCATCCCAAATGCAAACCACAGTCGTTTCACCTGTACGATTTCCTCCGTGCCTAGATGATCAAAAGTAATGATTGGAGATATCGAGCGCGGCGTATTGATTGAAAATATTTTGTTATTATCAGTATCTTATGCAGTCATATTCAACATTAGATGGGTATAAAATACAACGTAAATTTAATAATGGAAATTCTGTTAATCCTAATTCTTGTAATATGATTTTGTCCGAACTGCCGCCCCATGCTACTATTATGTTAATTTTGTTGTCACACAGTATATAGTTCCTTATGTACGTTACATTCAGACTATTTACTGGTGCCATCAAACTTCGATTGAGTTGATCTAATCAGATGTCTCTCATCTCCGTTTTTACCTTCAAAATTCGTGCCGAAGCTGTTCGCGCCACTATTATTTCCTTGTCCTTCATTGGTCTTACTTCTCGGTTTTCCGGTAGTAATAACGGTCTTCCTTCTAGTTTTCTTATTTTAAAGCGGTCTAGACTATTTGAAATGGCACCTGATATCAGTACATAATTTGTCTTGTGAATGTTGGTGAACTCGAAATCTACGATTATTTATTAAACAACATTGAATATACGTATATATATATATTTATTTACAATGATATAATAATTACTAATTATATTATTACATATTAGTTTTGAATATAGTTTTATTCTATATTCAAAGATTCTAGTTCTCTGTGCAGTAAATGCACAGAATTTCTTATACATAATTTACATTTATAAAATGTATATTGCGATTGTTCGTATTCTAGTTTAAGTTGTTTTTTTTAATTTTTTAATTTTTTAATTTTTTTGTTTATTGCTTTAATTTTATTTTTATATTTTTTTTCTTCTTCGTCTTCTTCATCCAAAGTTTTTTCTAATAATTCGTATTTTTCATCAATTTTTCTTTGGATGTAAGTTTCATCTGAACGGGAAGCCATTTTATTTTGAAACTGTAAATATTAATATTTATCTATCAATCAATATATTGAATAAAATAAAAAAAGTCGAGTCATAATAATTATAAGCGATACAATATTATTTTTCCTTTATATTATATTATATTATATTTAACTCATATTATTTGACAAGTTTTCACAACACAGTTAAAATATTAATAAAAAATATTGAAGATATAGATATGTACAAGCATATACGTTTGAAAAAAAAAATAAAAAAAATACTATATGCTTGTATTATCTATAAGTTCAACATTATTTACATCTTTTACATCATAGAATTCAATGTTTATAATATAATCTCATGGTTTACATAAACATAATAAGTTTTAATAGTTCTCAATACATTTTCTTTTACAGTTTCCCCTCGATCTTGATCGTCCTAAACTGGTCTAAACTGTTTTACATTGCCCCAGAAACAAGCACAATGCTTGTCCTATCGAGCATCGATAATTCGGAATCCATAATGATGAATCTTTTAGTAGTATTAAAACAAAAAAAAAAAAAAACAAAACTTATGTAATAATGATAACTTATGACGACTTATAACAATAAAGAAAATTGGAGGATCCTATAGCTAAATATACATATGTGTTATGACACCGAAGTGTTCATAAATCGGTCTCGAAATATTTTTTTGCATTATTATTAGTCCTTCCTCCCCTTCTTAATATTGTTATATTCTCGTTGTCGTGTATCATTATTATTTCGTACGGACCTGTCCAATTCAAACATAACGCATTTTTTTTGTTATGTTCTTTTAATAATACCTTATCTCCTACATGTAGTTCGAGTGGATTTGTAGTTTGGTCGTAGTATGGCTTATTCGTATTCTTTTTCTCGATTAGACTATCTCTTGCAATTTGATGTGTTTCCTGCATCACTCGTTATAAATCTGAGTCATCATAATTACAACGTGGCTCCGGCGCCTGTATAAATGCCGAAGGAATTATCGGTTTTTTCCCGAAAACCAACTCGTAAGGTGTGTACCTAGTCGACGTGTGTACCCTAGTGTTGTAATAAAACATCGCGTAGCTAATTAGTGTGTCAAATGTGATAATGAAATAAAACTTTCGCCATTTCTTCAGCAACTCTTCGTTTACAATGCATTCTTCCAGTAGTAGTGTATTTAAGATTATTTTTATGTCATCAGGCCATTCATAAAATGCACCCAAGTCGATTTCCGTAATGGTTATATTTGGCGGGGATGACATGACACTATTGAATTTCAAATATAAATATAAATGAGACAGATGCGGCGAGCCTCGGGTATTTTAGAGAAAACAAACTCGCACCTAGCAATAAAAGATGCTAAATCGGTTTCACTACCCTCTGAGAACTCCGGAAGGAACCTTAAAGCCGTTACGAAGTCTAATTGATTCGAAATTTTATTCGAGGTATCAAGGAGACTTATTAATGTTATATTGTTTTGGCTTACATCTGTACTCTCCTCCAAACTATCATTATTTTCCGAATTTATGGTTTCGATTAACCCTGAATCTGCTTCAGGTCCTACTACAATGTTGGGATCCAGATGTGGAGTTCGGTTTACAAGGTCGAATCAAATGAAGTAACACGTGGTCAAATTAATTATTATTATAAATTTATTGACCAAAGGCTAGTGGTTAATACTTTTTAAGCACTCAGAGTAATGTTACAATTTAAGACAAATATCTCTAGTATGAATACTGTCAACAAGTCAGAAATAGTGTGTCTGGTCTCCCTGCTGGGGAGCCTTTATATAGTAGACAACAGTCAGATTACATGGTCCTTTACAAGGTCCCACTTAAGTATTCGCTATGGCTCCTCTAGTACTTTAGAAACTAACTTTTCCTTGTGGCACTCGTTAATAGTAATTAATATATTATGCCAAGTACACCATGCATAATACTGTAGTAATAATATTATATTCTTGTGTTGTCCTAACCTTGGCTATTGCAACATCATCGTATCATCTCATATCTTCTGTATCTCCGAACTCATCCATTTCTTCGGATGAATCACTACGTCGATCACGCTCTGAGGGCAAACCACGAAAATAATCACCATCAGAGCCGTCAGAGGATACTGATTCTTCCCCGTCGGAAATAAAATGTCTAAGAAATCCAAAAGGATTTCTTCGTTCGTCAGGTCTTTTTTCATCGTGGTCAAGGCGTATGTTTTCAGGTTCGTGAGTTTTTGCGACCGTAGCTCCGCCTCCATCTGCAGTTTCGTTTGTACCAAGTCCGCCGTCTTCTTCACTATCTTCGATTTTTTCGTTGTCGGACCCATCTGACGATCGCTCTTTCGGTGATCCATCTCCAGAGCAGCTCTCTTCCGTTAGATTCATTGTGTCTGGACATTCGTTCTTGAACATTTCTAATTTACTCTACTAGTATATCTGCTTAGTAAAAGATAGTAATACTGTTTGTTCACACACACAGTTGCAAAGATAACTAAGCACACCACTGCCCTCTCGTCAATCACAACCTTATCGTGCTTATGTTATTATAATTACCTAATACGTCCTTTCTTAATTATATAAATTAATTATTATTTATGCGTCTATCGGTGATTGCACTTTTCGGGTTTCTTTCACAGAACACGGTACCGGTGATTTGCCAGTCTGTCACAGAACACGAGACCGGCTAAAACAATCGCCGATAGACCGCATATAAAAAGCCGCACGATCGACAACCGAGTACCAGTCTTTTACCTGATCTGTAGCAAGACCCACCCGGGCAGACTTGCGCATTTCAGGTAAAAAGTCTTCCACACCCGAACTTATCGGACGGTATTTATATCTGTTAATAGTGCAATAGTCAGAGTATTCCGCCATTACACTGACCATATATCTGTCGCAGTTTATGGGGCAATAGTCGGAGTATTTTGGCATTGCACCGACTGTCATACCGTTTGGTAAGTTCCAACACCCCGTCGTGCGCACTTTAAACTCCGTACTCTTCGATATTAAATCATAAAACCGTGTACATACTTTTTTTTTTTGTTTAATAAAATGTAAAATTCGTCAGTGTGACATCAAACTAATCGAATTTTTTATTACCACAATAAAACAAATCCAAACCACAACCTCAAACACTGTTGCTCAGACTTACGTTCAAGTAAATTGTCAGTGATCGACTAACTGTTATGACTGCCGACTCCTATTTATATGCCTTTGAACAATGGTTGTTATTGTACTGTACTTATCGAATGACATTTGATATTCCTGATTAAGAATATACTATATATTACGTAATCCAGTCGAACAACACGAGCTTTATGCTTGCTCAGAGATTATTTTAATAATATTTCTACAACGGCAGCAACAACCACAAAGTGACCTTGCTCCGTAATCAACCAGCGCTCGCCGGTATGCTTCGGGGTCGGCTGTTTGAATTTTTAAACGATCTGAGGAGGATTTTCAATAAAAATTGTCAACTCCGATGATCTCGATTAACGCTTCGCACAGTTCTGAAAAGTTAATTATGCCTTTTACAAAAATCGGCGGCGGTGGTTTAATTTGGTTGACGATATTTGATTTTGGAGAAAAGCAAGATGCTTCGTTAGAGTCCGGTATGATCGGGTTCGCGGGTTCGGTTTGCGTAAGCACTTCATAGCGATTTGCCGTTATAAATAATTTTTTATAATTTTTATTATTTGAAGTAGGATCGGGGGATTTCGGCTCGGATGAATCTGAGTGATTTCTTTTATTGATATTTTGTGTTCAATTGACATCTAAGTTATCATCCGAAGGGTTCAACATAGAATTGTTTGAAGTATTTTTGATTAGGCGAGCTGCCTGTATATTGTTGTTGTTTTTATTTTTTTCTGCATATTTAATATCTTTCCTTGTCGACGTAGTGGGTGCGTTGTTAGGCCGCGGCATGTTATCTGGTGGGCAAAGGTCGCATACCGATGCACGAAGCAGCGATAGCGCAACGGTTATAGAGTAGACGGTTGAAACTTGATAGGCGCACTTCCAGTTTTTATAATATGTATGAATAAATAAGTTAGAAGATTGCGATTTTTTTCGTACTAAATACGACACATTCGGGTACGAAAAGTAGACGGGCAAAGAGTAATCCGCGACTGATTGCTTTACTAGGTGTTAATTTCTGACCGTTGCCAAATTTTTGTATTATTTCGTAATTTATCCCTGACATAAAATTATAATGTTTCTCTATCTCCGAGACTATGTGGTATTCCTCGGGTGCCTCTACGTGTTTATTAGTTATTAACTGTGTTTCGAATTTATTTAAAAATGCGGGATAGCTTTCCTTTTTATCTCTTTTTTGTTATACATTCTGGTCAAAGCATCGACATTTGAATTTAATAATCCAGGTTTATAGCGAATCTCATAATCGTACTCTTCTAAAAGTATTCGCCAACGTGCGAGTTTCGATAGTGGGTCCTTTAAATTGAATAGCCATGAAAGTGCGGGTTGTCGCTCATTATAATAAATTTTCTTCCATATAGATAAGGTCTAAATGTTTTTACTGCGAATATTATAGCTAGACACTCAAGTTCTGTGGTACTATAATTGTTTTCGCTTTTATTTAAAGTTCTAGATATATATGCAATAGGTAAGTCCCGTGACACTTCCCCTTGAGATAATATGGCACATAGAGCTTTTCCGCTCGCGTCTGTTGTAACGATAAATGGTTTTGTGAAATCTGGATATGTAATATAGGTTCCGAACATAGGATGTTCTTTAATTTATAAAATGCTTCTTGGCAAGAAGTGTCCCAGTTAAAGGTAATGCCCTTTAGATTTATAGATAGATTTTTCATTGGTTTTGCTATTAAACTATATGATTTTATAAGCTTCCTATAATACCCAGAAAGTCCCAAGAATGATTTAATTTCTTTTACAATTGTTGGTGCTGGGAACTGTAATACTGACTCGAACTTTGCCGGATCGGCTGTGGGTGCACATGGTTTTCGCACATTTAATAAAATTACAACTCATTTGCGCACATTTTTACAACTCGTTTGAGCACAGATTATTTCTAGTGTAACCACTGGTTTGCGCACACATTTTCCTTCCCACTCTTACAGACTTAGGACTGTCAGTGAATATTTTAATTTCACTGGTGTGGTTAAAAATGTATTTTTGGTGTGCTATGTGTTAAACTGAGGATTTAATGTAGCAATTGCCTTACATTTTTTATTGGTACATCGAAATGAAAAATGCCCACATTTTAATTGTCTGTACTTCGAAAACTTAAAATTGTTAATAGAAACACACATTTTACCTACGCTTATAGTATATATTTGTTATTTCGTAATCCATATTTCTGTAAGCGCTGTACGAGACAATTGTCGAAACTAAAACTAAAAACTTGTGTTTGCGATTTCAAAACGATAGTACCACTTTATTGATGGGTCATAAATACTGATAAAGTTTATCGAAGTAATATTGCCGATTACAGATTATTATCTGCGTCTAAAAACCAATATAATATTAACGTATTTAATAATATTATGTACAAAATATAATCTTGGCTATACCATATTATTGTATATAATATGTTGTGCGCAATCGAGTGGTTAGATTACAGACCATTATCTGCGTCTAAAAACCAATATAATATTAACGTATTGTTGTAACGTGTCCGGCAAGCACTTATAAAAATTGAGGTATGGAAGGAAATAAAGTATACTAGCATAAATAACACTAAATATAATATATTTCAAAGTATTTTACAATACATTTAAACAAGCAAAAAGACTCAAGTACAACGTTGTTCGTGTCCCAAGGCAGACTCCCCGAATCTCTGCTGCCCTTAGCTATTTATGTTACTACTTTTCACTTTGTTATGATCACGCCACTCATAGATCAGCATTATCCACGACTGCGCGTGCATAACCCTTTTGCCCTATTAACTAAAAATATACGTATTCTAATATTGTTTATGACAACGTCAGCGTTCATACATTGTATTTTACATTAAGCAGCTGCGTGTTACAATAATAGTGTTTTTATGTAAAAACAGTAAATCATATAATATTAACTAATGAGGATCATTACAGTATATAATAATATTATATTATTATGTACAAAATATGTGCGCAATCGAGTGGTTCCTTCTACAATATGTTGTGCTCAAACGAGTTACAGGTTTAAGCAGGGAAATTTTAAAATGTGCGCAAACTAGTTGTAGCCTCCGGTTGTATGCCGTTTTCACTGATTATATGATCTAAATACATACACTGTTGTTTTGAATTCGCATTTTGCTGGTTGTATTTTTAAGTTATAATTTCGAAGTTGTTCAAATACGTCGCGTAATTTTTCGTTATGATCAAGTAAACCTTTGCCGTATATTATTATGTCATCTAAATACACTAAACATTTTATTCCCACGATACCAGCCATTACATTATTCATTAGGCGTTGGAATTTACATGGAGAAGTTTTAAGACCCATCGCCATTTTTTTAAAATGCCAGTGACCTTGGTTAGTCGAAAAGGCTGTAAACTCTTTGCTTTTTTCATCTAACTTAATTTGGTAAAAACCCGAGGCGAGATCAATGATGCTGAACAGATTGCATTGCCCTAGCTGGTCTAATATTTCAGTTATATTAGGCAGCGGGTGGTACTCGTTTATCGTTACTTTATTTAAAGCTCGACAATCTATGACTATTCTAAATTGTGGTATTTGGCTCGGGTCAAGTTTCTTTTTAACTAATAGTAAAGGAGCGGTTCACGGTGACAAGGAGGGTTCAATAATGTCTTCTTTTTTCATTTGTTTAATTTGGGAATCTATCTCGGCCATTTGTGCTTGTGGTAAGCGATACGGTCGCTTGCATATGCGCTCCTGATTTTCCGGTATATTAATTGTATGTGTTAACGTATCTGTGTATGTTAACGTATTCCCTGTTAGATGAAATATATCTTGGTAATGTTCACATATTTCTAGGATAGATTGCCTTTGTTCATTATCCATATGATCACTTCTAATTAATTGTCTTATTTCATTTATGCGTTCATTTCTATTATCGTCATTTATTATCGACTATCGTATTTTATTTAAATTATTTAGCATAACGTTTTGAGGCTTTTCGGTTATATTTAAAATACTTATTATTATTTCACCGTTTTGTACGGTATTAATTACGTTTCCAGAAAATACTTCTTCCATTATTTCTTGTTTATGATTTGAAATATCTTCATTTTCTACATCCTTTGCATAGGTATTGATACAATTGTTTCTGATCTCGGTTTTAATAGTAACTCACCTTGTTTATTTTTATTAGCATTAATTACTTGAGTCTTATTTGCTAAGTTAATTACAGCGTTATTTTCTGTTAGAAAACTACTACCTAATATACCGTTTTTCCTTATTGGGAAGTTTTCGTCCACTAGATTAAACTCG